TATCCTCAAAGATTTTTCCCATTTTCTTCTCATAACAGTATCTTCAGGAAACTTATAAACTCCCATTTCTTTGCACCCGAAAGAAGCACAACGACACATTTCTCTGAATAAAAACAAAAATTCACAAATGTTCCCATATAATCAATGTATCTTTTGATGACAAACACTTAGCGCCCTCTATGTACAACAAATTGACAGTTTGCTTCCCCATTCATTCTGTTCGTAAATGTACATTCAGAATTGTTTGGTTAGAAAAAACTTTAACCTATAAACTGGACTGGAAATTAAGTTTTGTTATTGTTGATTTCAACATCAAACTTAGTGAATGTGAACGATGTTGCGATTGAGTGTGACATTCCCAGAGTTTCATCTTTTTTTGCTTTAAATATGCTTTTTCTGCTTTAAGTATAGATGTATTTAATCTTCATAGAAACCCAGACAGTCCTAATCATAACAAATTAATAATCAATGTACAGAGATATCACAAGTTTTTAGTGAGGAGTTCTTTCCAAATTTTAAATTATATGTGCAATCTACCTTATATTTTACAGTCTTTTTACAATTTTCATGAAACAATTGTCAAAGGTGTCTTGCAAAATGGTTCAAAAATATATTGTTTTCCAAGTAGGGCATTCTAAGAATGATCCATATACGTTAATGCCTTTTATTATACCAAGTATCAAGTACATCAAGATGAGCTTATCATCCAATGGGTTTAAAGACATTTTAAGTTGATTGCTTTCCTGCAAAACTTTTTTTTTTTCACTTTCTTAATGGTATCTCAAAGGGTTTTGTTGAAAACTGTTTTGACTATGGAACAAAAGATCTGAAACTGAAACTGAAACACTAAATTTAAAATTGATTTGAAGTATCGAATCTCCACTATTATCACTTGTCTAAGGAGGGCGACAGGTTTATGAATGAATGATACTAAAGAAAGTTGAGATGTTGGAATACTGGCATCTACATAATATTTAATTCATGCCGTTCTCGAGTAAGAGTTATCTGAAAATAATATTGAAGAAAAAAATTTGTGAAAGGAATTTTAGTATTTTCCAAATATTGCTAAGTTCTTCAGTAGTATCTACAAAAAATTGTTCTGGAGTGTTGAAGTATATTTTTCTTTAGGTTCAAAGTAATTGTTGTCAAAATGTTTGCTCACTGGGAATGGAGTAATGATTTTTTGAAGTCATAGTTTTATGTTTGTCACTTGAATATGACAGTATTTAATGTTCGTATCCATTCAAAATTAATTTTAAGTCTTCTAATGAAGATTTCTAATGAGTTACTATATATTTCTCTTACTTTTTATCTGAAGTCATTACTTGGACAGTTAGTCGATGATTTGGTATCTGAAAAGGGTAGAGAATTGATAGGAAGCAGTACATCATTGACATCTATTTTGTAACTTGTTTCAGAAGATACGTCAGTGTTGAAAATTACATCGGAATGTAGTCATTTTCATTTCAACAAAAATAGACTTCCATAAGTTTTTCCGAGTTAAAAAATTGATCAGTGAGTTGTATCATTTATACTATATATACATTTTCATATACATATATCAAAGCAATAAACTTGGACAAATTTCATGAGCAGAGTTGGACAAATTTAGCGTATTTGCTAATTGAAATAACGAGTGATGGTTTTCGTAAAAAAAGAATTGAAACTTGTCAGTTCCTCTCTTTTAATTCACAATTAATTCATATTTGTTGATATTGAGTGTCTTTTGTATCAAGAACACAAATTTTCATCCTGAAAAGTCACCGTAAAAAATAAATTACTTCTTCACAATAAAAAAAGGTAATTTTTAGATCACTTCGAAACTTTGTAACATTGTAATGACATTCTTTGTCGAGTATTTTGTCGTCTTCTATCAAACACGGAGTATGCATTGTCAATTTTTGTAAGTAAAATTATCAGTTTAAGTTTTTGCACTTATAAGGATTCTTAGCTCAGCTTCTTGAAGAAATTTCACTGGAGAAAGTATAGTATTGAAGATATCCCAAAAATCAGGCTTCAATAGTTACTTTGGTTAGTTTTTCTTGGGATACTATAATTAGTATTTCTATTTTTTATTTGGATTAAAAAGGGACAAATACGTTTCCTTAAGCTAAAAAGAAGTAGAATAAAATAAACGGGGCTAGGTTTCTAAACTATTTATCCATATGGAAATGATCAATCAAACTTAATATGAAGCATTTCTACTTGAATTTTTCGTTGTGAAGTGTCTCAACTGATTTTTCTAAATGAACTGTAGACAATGCAAATCAATTGTGAATTAACTTGAAATGATTTCATTTCCCAATTCTATCCAACTCTGTTCAAAATGCAAACAAAGATAACCTAACATCAATAAAATATTAAATAATTTCAAACTCTTCCTCACAACTTCTTTCTAACAGTCAGCATTTCACAGAGGACTGCAGGTACAGAAAAATGAAGGCGCACTAAATATAGTTCGTTATTCGCCGAAAAAAAACCTGCAATCTTTATCACTGAATCACATGATCACAGACCAATCAAAATAGGCAATAGCAAGTCGATAATTAGTAATGAACGTTCCTGCAGAGTACAACTCTCATCATTGTCGTCAAATTCATCTTTCCTTATCAATAGTTTTTTCGTTCCTGCGTATCCTGGATCTCTGAGGTCTAGAGGAATAGTAGAAACCAGCCCCTTGATCTCTGCTCTGGGCCAACTGTGGCGTGAGAAAGTAGAAGTGCGCTCCATTATCGCCAGGCAGCTGATACGATATGAAAGAACCATCTTCTGATTTAGTCGATTCCACCTCGACCGGTATGGCTTTTATAATCTCAGGATTTGGCGAATTATCCTGCTGCCTAGCCGGGTATCTTACCACGTTAGGGTACCTAGGCGGTGCGTTGTCTATGGATATGATCTCCGCGTCCGGGTTTATTGTGGGCCGGGGATTGAGGTAGTTCACCAAAGTGTCTCCTTCCAGCGATATCGGTTTCTGCCGGTACTGCTGGTACTCTTCGCTCGGTATAGGTGTCGTAGACGGCAATTTTCTGCCGAACATCGTGAAGTAGGTCTTTGTTCTATCGTCGACGTACCCCTCGTCCGGTTTCGTGTAAAATCCCCGGAAGATCGGGTTAGGTGTAACCTCAAAGTGGAATGGACTGACCGGCCTAGGGGTACCTACATATTTGGCTTGTTGGGTTACAGTTTCGTAGTTCACCTCCGGCCTGGAGGTCGTGTAGTAATTCCTGGGAGGTTCCGTCGTTGGCCGATACTCGTGCTCGTAAAAGATCGGTCGCCGATCTTCGTAAGCAGGTCGCTGGGTAGGTGTTATCTCTATGGCCTGCTGGATTTCGACGCTGTATTTAGGCACGCCGGGTCCGAAATCATCCTGCGGGGCAGGCTTGAAAACGTTCTGCCTAGGCGCTTGGTAGTTCTGCGATTGGAAGCTGAACTGGTACACCGGCTTCGGCGATGGTCTGAGCGTCGTCTTCTGCGTGCTGTAGTACCGTATCTGGTTCTGCAGCTTGGCGATGTGGATGTTGAACGTGTCCGGCTGCTTTACCGGCTGTTGGATGAACCTGAACCGCGGCTTTTGCGTGTTGTATGGCCTGGCTGTGACGTAGACGTACTGAGGCCTTCGCTGACGTACCGTCGGTACCGGTTTCGGCCGCAAGTAGTACTCCTCGGTGGTGTCCACGTAAATAGGTCTAGCGGGGCGCCTCGTCGTTGGTTTTTCAGTTTCTTCGTAGTAGAAGTACTGCGTCGGGGTAGGGCGCTGTTTCGCGGACTTGCCGTCACGAGTACCGGTGTACTCTCCGGATTCTTGCGTTACGGAATTGGTTCGTATGTCGTTTGATGTGGTATAGTACTTGAGAGGTACCTGCGTGGTGGTTACGAAAGGCGCTCTGCTAGGAACTGTTGGTTTATACTGCTGGAAGGGTTTGTTGGAATACTGTTTGGGGGGATTCACTGGACGCAGTTTGGTGACTGTCGGTTTTCTAGGTACCGGCAAGTATCTGTTGTCTGGACGCGGAGGTAGTACCATCATGGGGCTAGGTGGTTCCGTAGTCGTGGTCACGGTGGGTTTGATCTCGTTGTTGTAGTAGTTCGACGTTGGGTATATTCTGATGGGTTTCCGGGTAGTACCTGTAAGGAAATTGAAGATTTTTAATATGAAAGTATATGAGTATATGCACAAAATAAACACAGCATCAGGGATGTGTGTATTCCACTGCCAAATCTGCGGCATGCATTATAAATGAGCTGGGTCTACCCGCGGTCAATTATCATAGAAAGTTGAGTGGTAGAATAAAACTGTAAGGCTGCTTTACACTGCAGTCGTCCAATAATGATAACCTTCTGCATTTGTCCAGCTAAGATTTTTAACGTTTTGAGGCAAGCCGGTATGATTTAAGATTAGAGAATAGTGTAGGCATTGTTCTACTTAGTACTTTTATGATCAGAAAACCCATTTCAACAGAGTACCTAATCTGAGTAAAGCTTGAAACTATGTTTTGGTAATGTTGCTTTCCTAGCTGCAACATATTTTTTTTTGAGGAACATTATTTTATTGTTTTGTTTCCAACTTTCAGGCATATATTAACCATAATGCTGATTTTTTATCTTCATTACGTTCACTGAAGAAGCGTATTCCGATTCATACTCGCACGGATCCTCCTTAGTCTGATATGCCGTTCATAAACATCTACAAATAGAAGAAGGCACAGTGTAGTTGGTGCTTTTTAATTCATGAAGAGAGAAAATGCTTCTATCACGAAAGTGAAAAGCGACAGAGGACTGAATCCACGAATATTAAAGATAACCGAGTCTTCCAGTCATCCCAAGGCGGTCCCAACTTCTACCAAAAGTTCTGCCATTACAAAAAAGCACAAAATAAACACAGCATCAGGGATGTGTGTATTCCACTGCCAAATCTGCGGCATCCATTATAAATGAGCTGGGTCTACCCGCGGTCATCATAGAAAGTTGAGTGGTAAAATAAAACTGTAAGGCTGCTCTACACTGCAGTCGTCCAATAAAGACCATTATTATTATATAAGGGGTCAGCAGGGTTCCCAATAATGACAACCTTCTGCATTTGTCCAGCTAACATTTTTAACGTTTTGCGGCAAGCCGGATTAGAGAATAGTGTAGGCATTGTTCTACTTAGTACTTTTATGATCAGAAAACCCATTTCAACAGAGTACCTAATCTGAGTAAAGCTTGAAACTTCATCCGTTTTTCCTCCTTTCGGATTCACCCAGAAAGAGGACTACACCAGACTCTTTAGCTTGTATTTTTCCGAAGGAGGGAAATGAGTAGTTTCAATGAATTTGGCACCTCTCATGTTCTACAGCGATTCAAAATACCTCGGAGCATAAGTCAACACCGGTGTCTCGACAATACAGTAGAAGTGTTGAAAATGGTAGTAAAGAACTCTAAGTGCCGCGTTATGTTGGTGGATATATGCTGAAACCACATATAATGACAGCAAGTGAATTATTGTTATTATCATCATCAGCATCATCATCATTATTTATATTATCAACATACCTTCTGTTGTGGTAGTCGTCGTTTTCGTCGTCATCATCGTTGTCGGCAACGGAGTGGTAATCGTGGGTTTCCTGGTCCTCGATGGCTTCCTGGCCTTAGTAACAGGTTCCGTAGTGGTAGTTTCTTCTAGGGCGGCGAAAAAATTCGGAGGCGGCGGCAGAACGATCCCAGGCACTAATGGTCCTGCCGGCACCGCCGATGAATTATCCTTGGGGTAGTAGAAACTGTAGGGCGGCGGATAGTATATCGAGGGGTCGTCGTAGTCGTACAACTCGTCGGTCTGGTTTCCTGGGGGCGGCAACACCACCGCCCCTGGAGGCAAATAGCCTAAAGAAGGCGGCAAGGTGCCGTTCAAAAGCTGTGGGGGGAACAATGGCTCCCCCGGTGCGTACTCCCCCGAAGGGTTGAAAGGTACTTGCACCGGAGCGGACCAGGGAGAAGGGTCGGACGAATTGGTATCGTAAGGGTAGAACGATGACGGGTCGTAACCTTCGGGGGGCGGTACGGCGAAAGCTTTCGATTGTTCTGTTTCATTAAGCGTTCTCGAAAAGTTTGTACCCAGGATCTGGAGTGGCCCGTCTTCGGTGAGCTGGACGGGAAAGGGCGGCGGCACTTTCGGGTGCTTCGGGATCTTGACCTGGTGCAGGGGCGCCTTGTAGTCGTCGAGCGTCGGCCAGGGGGACTCTGCGTTGATTTTCTTGTCGTCGTAGGGCGGAAACTTACCGCCCCTCAGCACCAGGAGGTGGTTCTCGGCCAGCCAAATTTCGTTCTTGTCCAGACCGCCGAGATTGTCGATGTTGTCGTTGGGCACTTCAGGGTTGTCCTCGTAACTGAGGATTCCGGGACGTTTCTGAGGTTTATTGGAGAAGAGCTCCTTTTGGATGAGACCGTATTTTCCATCAGCTATTTGTTGGGAGAGGGTTTTCGGTTTGTCGTCTTTGGCCGGTTTTCCAGATTTTTTGCCGCCGCCGCTGGATTCGATTCGGAGCTGTTCGGTGTCGTTCGGGTCGAGGTTTACCATTCGGAGGTTGTTTTCGACTTCCCGGCGTTGGTGGGATTGTTTTTGGTCGACCGCCGAGCTCAGTGCTGCTAGAGCGAGGAGGCAGGCGAATAGTCTATAGTACATCTGAAAAAAAAAACATAATTAGGGCCAAGTTACAGTAATTCCACAAGTTCTGGGGTATTTTGGTCAGAAAGTTGTAAAACATATCTGCTCCATTTCTATGAATACACTTTCACCTTTTTAGTAAATAATACAGTTTGTGACGAGCTGTTTCTGTCTCTTTGTTGCATTGTCTGCTGAAGTTTCCGTTGTACAGGGCTGTTTTGTAGATGTTCTCCAAACGTGTATAATTATTCTGAGCTGATCCCTCATGAGCTGAAGCAGTTTTACGTTTTTTTTTAAATCTATGTTCCTCTTCGACCAAAGTTGGTTCAGGGCCAATATATGCAGCTGATAGAGAGACAGAGTACCCCAAGGATAGATCCTTGGGGTACTCTGTCTATCCTGTCTCCTCTGTCAATGATCTATCCTTGGGGTACCCCAAGGTTTGAAATCTTTCAGCTCGATAACGATTTGAAATATGCTTCAATATGTGGGAGTAATACCCCTCTGACACCTCAATTCTGGAGTTATTAGGAAGTTCATTGTGTGACAGTCAAAGGCTATCGATAAATCAAACGACATTATGGCTAACTAATTCGGTAGAATTTAACATTTCGAAAGTTTATTGGAATGAACTGGAATGAGTTTCAAATAATTTTTTGTTTGCTTGTTTGCATATTCTTGAAAATAATATTTATCCAATTACTCGGAAACGGATGGTCCGATTTCCAAAAAGGTAAACCTTTGTTGAATAGATAATTGAAAGGACTGTGAAAACATCCCCTTTCTACTTGAAGAAGTTAATAGCGTCGAACAGAAGTGACTTTTTGTGGAGGAAATTAGAATTAGAATTTTTACACTTTTACAGATTGTGGAAGGTGAAAATTTTCAGAAAATTCAATGAGAGTTGATAGCAGTCAAAATGTTGTAAAAATGATGCCTTTTTACGTCAATTTTGTTCAACGTTGTTCAATATCTTATAAATGTGATTCTCTAGAGGATGTTCAGCTTTACATCGTTCATCGTCGTTCAACATTCGATTCGCTAGTCACTGGAACGGTATTACGAAATGGTTGAAAATGTGTGTTATCGCCTAAGAATCAATTCCGCGGTTTCGAAATGGAATATTTTGCACTGTTTACGTCGAAGCAAAAGATAACAGTTGATCGTTCGGAATACTTGATTACTTCAATTATGGCAATCCTTATGTTATACATCGATTTTAATTACAAGCCGAACATAGAAAGTTTACGGAACTATCGTAATACTGGGAACTTGAGAAGGAGACGTTGACATTGGCTCGAAAATATATTGTTTTTCCATTTATTGAAGAGCGTGTTTCTGATCCGAAAAAAAGGGCTACTGATGTAGCTGCTCTGTCGAATTCTAAATCTATTTTGATACAGAGAAAAAATTTGATTTTTTTATATGTTTGTGTTGGACAAACTCAAACTTCACTAGACCGATTCTGAGAATTCTTTCGTCTATAGAAAGTTGAATTATTAGCGAGTAATCGGGTTGTATTCTATTTTCAAAAAATTTAGAAATCCCAACGAAGACTGCAATATCACCAGTATCAAAAATGTGCGCAGGTGATACACAAAATAATGTATGTTCACACTAAATAAACTCCATTGCCACAGAAAGTTCGCGAGTTTGTAGATCTAACTGTTACAGTCCAGTCCTAAAAACCGCTTTCTGTCAATGGAAACACAGGTAGAACCGAAATATATTGACATTCGAATCAACTAAATAGTTTCATAATCAAGATTAATTATGTACATATATATAAAATTTTTCTTTCAGAAATTACGACGGGTATAAAAAGCCGTGGACCAAATTTAACGATAAAATTACAATTGCAAATTGCACCAATGCAAAGTGGA